CTGAGGCAGTTCTTGATTTTCCAAGAAAGGAGTCCCCTTACTTTGTTTTTTCTCCCCGACTGGTTGTATATGCATCCAAATGTATTGTAGTGACACATAAAGTGGCCAACAGCTGAGTAGAGAGGCCAGATTAAGGCGTTTTACTGTCAGTCAGCTGTTTTTTGTCTTAGCAATGAGTCACAAATTGGCACTACAAAAGGTTTCAACCAGCCCCAGGAACAAGACCGCTGTCGTTACGTAGAAATAAAAACACAGATGAGACAGACTACATGCGGCGCCTTGCAAAAATATTCACTTCCCTTAACCTTTTTCCTGTTTTTCACTTCGAAATAAAATATATTGCAAGAATTTAAAGACACCTTATGATAATAACGTCCACTAGTTGGTAAATTAATTGAAGAGACAGAGTATGAGACCTGCAAAGTATGACTGCTACTAAATTATTTCAGCGATTGATTTTTCTGTCAATTATTCTTACAATTAATTGGATTTAAAAAATAGCATATTCTTCAGATTTTCCCATTAAACCACTTATGCCTATTTATACAATATTAGAAATACATAAAAGGTACAAATAAAAACATCTATTTCCTTTTAACATTTTATTGGCTGAACTGAAATAAGAAAGTATCCCTTTAGCGTATGCTTGATCATTTGAAGCGAAAAAATGAAGTAAAATACTAACAGCAAAGTGAAAACCTTAGCCCTTTCTGTTTGACCTAACAGTGTAGAGATGATCTGTTCACCATCTTGTTTTTATGTTGTTTTTTTTTATATCTTTAAGGCAAAATGTATATATTTTTGCACAGTTTTCTCTAAATTACTGCTTTGAAGATCTTGTTCTTTCAACAACTGGCCTTTTCTGATTGTTTATACTCTAGTTAAACTGTCACTAAATAAGTTGACGATTATTTCAATAATTAATATATCACGATTAATATACAATTAATTGTTTCAGCCGTACTACAAATCTACAAGGAAAAGACAGTCAACCTAAACAGGTCACAAAAGAAAAGCACAAATCTGGAGGAGCCGCAAAGAACCACAGCTCAGGTAGGAAAGTCTGTTGAAAGGACAATAAGATGCTCCACAAATCTGGACCAGTGGAAGGAAGGAAGAAATGTGTTGCTGAGAGAAAGCCCATGAAAATCTGTGAAGGAATAACACTTCACATTATCCCGATTGTGAAACATGGTGGTGGAAGCATCATGCTGTGACAAAAGTTTTCTTCAGCAAAAACAGTGAAGCTGGTCAGAGCTGATTAAAAGAATGGAACAAAATTGTTCACAATCTAAGACTGAGCAGGAGCTTCACAATGATCCAAAACAACTAAATGGTTTATTAGCATATTCATGTGTTAGAATGACTCAGTAATACCTTAATTACTCAACGTCTTTTATGACAACTTACCCTTTTGCAATTTCAAACAAACACTAACATGAAGAAAACAGTGAAAGACGTAATTTTTACTTTATAAGCAACATATTTATAATGTCATTACGAAGATGAGTCTAGGTTTGTCACAATCAGACATTTTACTGAACGATAAATTGTCCCAGAAATTATCGCAATAAACAATAGTACTGGATTTTTGAGATCATTTTCAAATAATATATTGATATTTGCACGATAATGCAAGAGACTAATAAACCCTAATTTTGCACAGAACAGCCAACACTGGAACTGGAAGTGATTTTAAATATCCAAAATAAAAGACAACAACCAAAAACGTTGAATGGGGATCAGTCAACTTATTTCACTTGTTGACTGATCCTTGTAGCGCTGACCACACAGGAAGTTGTGACCGCTCCGGTCACTAGGACAAGCCTTCGGACCCCACAGATGCATTCTCAAAGTTTTCTAAGCCCATACATAGGCTGCTCTGCTTAAAAATAGCTTGACATCACAAAGCAAAACAAAAACAGTGAAGACACGAGGATGCTGTTAGCCTTGCAAATGTTCACTCATGAACAAATGACATTCTGATCTTCTCCCAGCATCAGATGAGAAGTTAAGAGATCTCAAAGGCGTTGACAATTAATCACCATGACAATAGAGATGCCCGCAGTAAGTTTTGACACGATAAGTATAGAAGTCAAGACGTTTAACTGGAAAGCCACACATATCAACCTCGCCTTTTCTCGCCTGAGAAAAGAAAAGGAATCGTCTTCTGGGGACTTTTTTTTTTTCCTGCCAATTGCTGCTGAGAAACCTCCTCTTTCTCTTTATTTATTTGGATGTGGATAACAGAATTTGCTAACCTGAAGTAAATGCCGTCACATCAACATCAGTAATTATAACTCCTCAAACTGAGTGGAGAGTAATGAGAGTGTTTACATGATGCTAAAGCCTCACACAGAGCCGTTCCCCTCCAGGAGTGACTTAAGCTACCTAAGAGGCTTTGCTTTTGGTCTAAATCAACTAATCGCAAAGCCGCTACAGGCCTTCCTTCGCTCCTCGCAATATGAGACAATTAGCGGGAAACCAGGTTGGGGGGGTGGGATCAAAAATGTGCTTGTTGTAAGAACAGAAGATGACGCTTGCAAGCGGCGCCAAAAAGCTTTATTCACCCACTACTGAGGGATGTGTGTCTGTTTGGTGGGAGCGGTATCCGAACAAGTAGCTGAATGAAAGAACAGAGGGCACTTCTTGCCCCTGTGAAGGCTTCAGAGGTGAGCACAGACCCTCCAAGCGGAGTCTTTCTCCAAGTCATCAAGTGACTCATTGTGGAAATCGCCTTTGACAGCAGCTTGTGCTGTTTGAGGAATGTTTTCCATTTCTTCATCTGAAATCCCCGAAGTCCCTTCCACAGGGAACTGGCAGAGAGGAAGGAGGAAGAGAAGGAGCGAGCGAAGCAGTCGGAGGAGGAGGAGGAGGAGGAGAAAGACGGTGTTGTGGAGAAAGTCTTTGGTTGGTGAGGATGGAAAGTTTGGAAAGAGTAGGCCTATATTTGATTCAAGTTGCCAGGCAACAGATGAGCAACAGGGGAGGAACGGGATGGATAAAAACCTCACTTGGGTACCACATGGGGATCAAACTAAAACAGGAACGCTTTACAAAACTTTTATCTTGGGTTTACTACCACTTCCTTAAATATAATACCAAGTAGTGCATCGCCCCTCCCCATAACAAACACACATCAGCATTGATGGCCAGTGTAAAGACAAACTTCTGGTTCTTCTTTGTGTTTATCCAAGTCAAAAAGATCGCATTTCATTAAATAGTGTGAAGGAGGACCGACATTTGACAAATAATGACTCTAAAGCATTCAAGTTGCATTGAAATTAAAAGAGGGTTCCACGTTGCATGAGCCAGAATTCGACTCTGGTGACCCTCATGTTACACAAGCTGAAGAAAACAGAGGAGATGAACTTTGACTCTTTCAAATCTAGTCATTTCTATCTAAATTGTATCATGGATTTTGGGGCAAACATGGAGTATTGAGCTCATTGTGAGTCTTATGGCTTGGTTCACCACCATCAGGTGATGCAGAAGTACTAAGTTTGGATTTGAAAATCATCTCAGTGGAACACAAACAGTGAGCTTGGAAGCTTGTCTTTGGGAACAAATAATGGTTTACAACAAAACAAAAATAACAACAACAACAAAAAAAAAATGGTTCTACAGGTAAAAAACTATAATAAGTTTAATTGCTTTCACAGGAAAGTCTCACTGGTAGCTATAAATGACTGAAGCGTTTGCAGCTCTTTTGGAAACCTCATATATGGGGGGGAAAAAAACAATGTTTACATCTCCTTAAATATCACATATGACACTCGCTGGCTTTGTCTTCAGCTTGCGTAATGAGACGACGACGTGTTTGACACCCCGTGTTATAAATGAAAAGGAAATGCAGCATCACAGAAGGTTTGTGTGACAGTGACGATGTCCAGAGTGCAGCCCACTGATGACACTGAAGTAGAAAGGAGGGAGGGTCTCTAAAGTTGAAGACGATAGACAGAAACATCTCTAAGAGCAGTAATCCTCGGTCAGCGGACAAGAAAAAGAACATATAGCTAGTTTAATTTCCTTGTCACACAACACATGTTTTCCTGAAGATCATGGCACTTCTACTGCTCCTATAAAAACCATCAATGCCCTTAAAAAAAAGCCTTTGATAAAAAAAAAAGTAGTGCCATCTTTCTATGCAACTGGATTCCTCAAACGCCTCTGATACCTTTTTGTTTTTAAACAAGCAGTTGGAGGGTTTGCAAAGTAGCTTCAAGACAGAACCAAGATGGTTCAGATATAACAAGCCAAACTTGCAAAAGAGGTTCCACAAGGCTTAATTCTTAGTCCATTATTGTTGTCCATCTAAAAACAACCAAGACTAAACTATTTTGACCAGATCTCCCTTGCAAATAAGCTGTATGATCTCAATGGAACAAACCTAGTAAAATAAATACAATAAAATAATATACATGCTGAATCTATGAACTGTAACTTTTGGAATTAATTAATTTCCTACCCCTCCTGTAGTTTTAGTTTTTCTACAGGAGGACCTGTTTGTTCACTAGATTATTACAATATATCACTACACAGGGAGTGTCTGCCTCAACCCTGCTAGTCTGCGTCTATAAAAGAATATCATCCCAGCAACATTGATATGACCTCATTTTACTGTGTGGTATAAAACTAAAAAAACAAAGCAAGAAGTATTAAACTAACCAAGGGGGGAAAAAATAAGGCGGACGTGTCAGGCTAAAGTAAAGAAACTGTGACAATCCACACACAGGCCAGAAATTCTGCCTAAACCTCCCTGAACAAATCCAAGCACTCCGATGAAGCTGCAGAACCCGATGCGGTAAATATTAAGCAAACGTTTACTTTGTTTCCTAGAAAGCAACACATTTTACCTAACGAGCTAGATAACCTGAACGCCTCATTCTGTGAGGCTCATTAACGGATCAACGTCGCGGTTAGTTTAGAGACAATCGGACGCCTGCAAAAAAAAAAAAAAAAAAAAAAAAAAATTTAGTGTCTTAATAACAGACACAAAGTTAAAAACTGTCCACCTGGTGAAGCGCTGTCAGCCCGTCTACGTTGGCGTGGTTGATGTCAGCTCCTTGTCGGAGTAGCGCCGCCACCTCCTCCCGGTCGCCGGCGGAGCAGGCGGCCATAAACACGGCTCCCTGCGCGAACTGCACTTTCGCGCGCCGCGTCCCAGAACAGCCCGTGGTTTTCCGAGTCTCCGACCCCGTCCGGTCCGTTTCCGAGCCCAGCCATCGCTGGAGCTGATCCTGCCGTCGTTGTTTGGCAGCTTCGGACCGGGAATGGTCAGTGGCCGCCATCTTCCCCCTGGTGTGTCCCCGGACAGATTCAGCTCATGGTACGAGGAGGAGAAGCAGCGGAGTGCGGTGTTTAGATTGAGCCTTCTCACCCCCTGCCTGGGCTGCGCCACCTGGTGGACGACCTCTACAATTGAAACCGCAAACTTCGCTGAGAACTTCAGCGGCAGCCCCCTGGTCCCTTCAGGGTCGGCTCGGAATTTACTTACTGCAACACAAGTTAGCTTCAAATTCGCTGCTTCAGCTTCAGCACTTAACAAAATGCTTTTTTTAACGACACCTAGCCACTTTTGATCCCCTTTAATACTAAATCTAAAATAATAAAATAATTAGAATGGACACACTTTCATCTCCTTTTCTCTAAAACACTGCAAAGCATTTTTGTCTTGCAACAAGAAGGTCCTAGGCTCAAATCCCGCCCTGGGCTCTTTCTGCATGGTGTACACATGCCGGGGTTTTCTCTGGGTACTCCAGCTTCCTCGCAGCCCAAAACCATGACTATTAAATTTAATGGTCTCTCTGAAATGCTCTTAGATGCCTGTGCGCATAGTTGAGTTTTTCTGTGTGGCCTTGTGATTGGTGACATGTCCAGATTCCAGGGTGTGCATGGTGTGTGTAGGACTCTCCATGTATTCTGGCTGGCTTAGCATAACAGTTTGGTCTAAGTTGCCCTTAGAAGTGAGCAAGGATGGACAGATGTTGCTAATATTAAAGTCACGTCAAGATAATAACTTTTTTCTTTCACCAAATATAACAACATAGATAATTATTGAAACAAAAACTTGAGAAGTGAAAAAGGTGATACACTTAAAAAAGTACTTTGCAAAATGTATGCTTCATGCCAAATTGCATCTTAACATGTGGCTTATAATGGAGGAATGATAAATGTAGTTTAACTTTCTTTTAACTGACCGAATTGCTAGAAACCCACAAATATCTAGTGTTGCAATCCAAACCTACAGTGGTTTTAGAGGTCAGGGGAATAAACCCCAGTCTAAATTTGGTGCATGAAAAAACTACTTTTTCCTGTTTTCTTTTTTTACTACTTGACATTTTTGTAGTTTTTTACTTTATTGTCATTACAGTTACAAACACAGTTTATGCCAATCCTAAACCACAAACAGTGAAAAATCCTCTGTAGTTTATAATTAAACTTGGATGATTTGCAGCATATGCCTACTGCTGCTCCAGTTTGTCTTGTCATAAGATGGATGTTTTTTTCTGTTGTTTAACAAAGTTGTAGTTATATGCTGTAGTTAATCATGGGGATTACCAGTTTATTTTATGATCACAAACTCTAAACATGATGACACCTGGTGACAAAATCAGCACATTACATTTACTTGGCAAATAACATGTAAGCTTTTAGCAAATCAAATGTTCTTATAGATTGATTAAAATGAAACACCCTGTACATGACGAGTACTTAAAGAGCTTGGTTACTTAATAAGTAGAAAATGAGCAGTTCTGAAAAAAATGATTGACACTGAACAAAGCACCAAACATATTTTAAAATAATTAACTAAAGTAAGAAGCAGTGAAAAAAAAAACAGAACAATGAAAGATCACAAAAAGTATGACTGCAAATATACATGATCACCACAGTAATTTCATGTACTGCATACACATCATTTTGTTTTAGCCATTTACATTAGTACATTTGTTAAAAACAAAGTAAGCTTTCTTTAAACATAGTGCATTGGAAATTGCATCACGCAAATGGAGTAACTGTTTTTAACAAACCAACTCTAATGTTTTCCGTTTTGTCCAGAGCTTCCTGTGAGCCAAAAGTAACTGCAGGCAGGAAAATGCTGCTTCACTTTGTGGCTGACTGCCTTCCACTAAAACCATCAACACATTTTTTTTTTTTTTTTACTGTGCTAAGTCTTTGTAACATCCTGTAATTCAAGTTTGTGCATGACTGACTAACTGTGCAAATTTTAAGTGTACTTCTGTTGACGTAATACTCCATGAATGCCTGAATCTAATGGCTTATTTCTGATTCAGGCATCGGTCCAAAAACGTCGAACACCCAGTAAACGTGCCTGTGCTTTAAAAAACTATTTATGGTTCTTGAAGTTTTGTAGATTGTTGCCACGCCTTACACCTCGCTGTAGTTTTTGGAATTTTAAGTAGAAAATGAAACAGTCGACCATAAGTAAATAATCTCCATGGTTTTGGAGATTACTTACAATTAAATATCTGAAAAGTGTGGCGTGTGGCATGTGGCATGCATTTGGAAAGAAACAACAAAAACAACAAAAAAAAAACACTGTGTGGCAGAGAACTAACGCTGCCGATAACCCTGAACACATGAACCAGACAGTGAAACACTGCAGTATCATGATGTGGAGATGCTTCTATTCCACCAGGATAAGAAAGCAGGTCATAAGTTGTAAAACTGGGCTATCCTTGAAGAAAACATGGTAGAGGATGTATTAGACCTGAAACCGGAACATATTTATGTATTGGAAAGGCCCAGTCAAAGTCCAGATTTGGTTGGGAATTTGAGGAAAGACTTGCTTTTCACGTTCCCTTCCCGACCATTCTGACTGAGGTTGACGAATGGGTGAAAATGTCAGTCTCTAAATATCTACGGCTGTCAGAGACATATTACGAAATGCTTCTAGGTGTACATGCAGTGAGATGTGGCTCCAGCAGGGCTGATTACAAACACATGCTATTCTCTTATTTTTGATTGGAGAAAAAAAGTGAAAACCATTCATCCATCCATTTTCTTTACACCCTTATCCCTCAGTGGGGTCGGGAGGGTTGCTGGTGCCTTTCTCCAGCTATCGTTCCGGGTGAGGGGCGGGGTCACCCTGGACAGGTCGCCAGTCTGTCGCAGGGCAACACAGAGACACACAACCATGCATATACACACTCACACCTAGGGGCAATTTGGAGAGGCCAATTAACCTGACAGTCATGTTTTTGGACTGTGGGAGGAAGCCGGAGTACCCAGAGAAAACCCACGCATGCACAGGGAGAACATGCAAACTCCATGCAGAAAGAATTGAACCCAGAACCTTCTTGCTGCAAGGCAACAGCTCTATCAACTGCGCCACTGTGCAGCCCAAAAACCATTCATTTTTCTTCCATTTCACAGTTATCCAATTTGTGTTGGTGTAAACTTAAAGGAGGTATGAATTATTTTTCAAAGTACTACATCACTGCTTCCAAACACTACACAAAGCAGCTGACTGCATTTCAAATGCAATATCAACATCGCAACTTTAACATACAGTATCTTAGTGTGAAAATTCAGCCCTACTTTTGCTTTTCACTCTTCCTGGATCAGGATTGTGATCACAGCTGAAGCCTACCAAAAGCTCTTAGATCTGCTCAGAGGTTTAGCAGGTTTGCCACCTTGAGGATTATTAAAATAACCTTTGCGTTCTGCAAAGTCTTGCTGGAAAAAGCTGGCCACGCGGCTGGTCTCTGGTGGGATCTGACCGGTTTTGAAGGAGCCTTGCAGGTCCATGTCGATGCAGAGAACCCCAGACAGCAGCCGGTTCTTGTACCGGTCGAACACGTCCTGCATTGAAGAGCCGCTGCTGTTCATCCAGGCGGGAAAGAGGTTGCTGGAGCTGGCCTTGGATGGGAGGGACCTGTAATGGTGCAGCTCCAGGTGGCAGAACAGCCTATTAGAAGAGATTGCAAACGAAAAATCAGTTCAAATAATTGTAAATAAATACAAAAGAAAATTGCAGTACCATGATGTGGAGATGCTTTAATGTATTATTACATTTACATGTTGAGAAAAGTTTTGTGCTGAGCTAACTTTACTCACAAAGTGCCATGTTTTGCTTTTCAGCAAAAGAAAAAAAAATACTACAAACAAACTCTGAACTCCTTTGGATTACCTCTCTAAAGGATCAGAGTTTTTGCAAGATTTATTTTAACATACAACTAAAACAGTATGTTTGCTGTCTAAATCTAATGTAGTGACAGTAGGATGTGCAAAAATGCAACTATTTCTCAATCGGTGTTGGCTTGATTGTTGACATATCAGTCACTTTGAGTTCCTGCCACACTCAAACGGCTAAAACGATATGGTTCTGCAAACCCTGCGAAGCTGAAATCTGCCAAGATCAAATGCTGCCGAGAGTAGCCTCTGTCAGTCAGGTGTGTACAGACATGTCTGATATGTTACGCAACATTAGGCTGCAACTGTAACCGAGTCTGTTTTATGAAGTACCTGGCAGACACGTGCTGCGAGAAGTTTCTGGAAGCCTGACTCAGAAGACGCTGCAGGATTTTCAGTATCTGCTCTCGGATCCAGCCCACATCCTCCTGCACATCTGGAAGCCACTCCAGAAGCCTGCACATGGAAGACATCATCATCAGTCAGCGCACAACGTAAGCATCCCCAGTAACAGCGATAAACATTGCCCTCAACTATCAAAATGGTGCCCCTGGTAAAGTCTTGAAGTAAAGTTAAGTGAAGAGACCTGGTGATGAAGACATGCCATTTTTATGCAGCCCTCACTGTTCATGGTTTCAAGAAAAGTTCAGGTCTTCATCCAACCTCGTTTGTGCCAGTTCCAATTGTTTTATACATAGTAATTGCTAAGATGAGTTTAAATGTGTGGAATTAACATTTTTCTTTTAGCCTTTATCACCTGAACACACATTTGAAAATTGTGAATGAGATGTTCCACTGTTTTTCATTTTGACTTGAGAGAAAAGGGCAACTCTGTCAGAGGAATAGTAACTCAAGGATTACTAATTAATAAGTTCATAAAAACTGTGAAATTGCAAACAACAGAGTAAAAGTAATATTGCTACAGGTGCCAATAACTGTTGCAGCTGTGACAATGAACAAGCACACTTCAGTTAATAGTTGTATTTTTCTTAGTATTCACTGTGATATTAAGCCTCTACATTACAAGAAGGAAGTAATTCTTGCAGCCTTTTACCAGTTTTCATAAGGGGTGAAAATAATGACCGCACAAAAAAGTGGATGAAATAAACTTCAAATCTACACTGTTTCAATACTTTAAAAACGTTGTATTTCCTGAAAAATGGCTTCTATTACGAAACATACAAGCAGACACGTACAACACTATCAGAAACAGTGGGAATGGGGTGTGATGTGATGAAGTCACACATCACCTGAGAGTCAAGGACACAGCGGACTCCAGAGGCAGCGTGTAGGGGAGCATCAGGGCCGATGCCATCCTGAAAGGGAGCAGGTTGCCCAGAGACTGCACCAGGCTCCTCCTCTCCAGGCAGGCCTCCAGTAGAGCTGCAGGGGGCGCCAAACACGCAGAAGTTAAAGAATTTCACAAGTTACGTTACTAAACACTTGCACCATTTAGTGGATATAATTTATTCTGTCACGTTTTGTGAATATAATTTGCCACCGCTGTTAACTTTGGGGTTTTAATTTTGCATCTGAAACATTCTTTTTTTCAAGGTGGATGGAAAACACAAATTAATTTTAAAAATAAATAAATACTTGGGTGCATAATTGGATGGATTTCTTGTGAATTTTCTTCATTTCACACCAGCTTAAGTATATTCATACACACTGAATATAAACAAGTCCCAGCTTGACCTCATGTCTTCTTGGCAGAACCGGTAGAGTTCACTCTTTGCAGAGACTTCTAAGCATAGCCTACACATTTTTAGCAGCATTTACGATAGCTTTTTTGGGGGGGGTAGAATGGTTATAAAACTTAATGTTGGCGTACAAAACCAGTTTTGTTATGTATATGGGATTCTTATCCAGTTGGAACCTACACAGAAAATACAATGTTTTTTCAATCTACAAAGGTATGTATAACAAAGTGCTGGAAAGAGCTAATTTGTTCATTAGAAAAAAATTGACATGCGCTTAATAAGAAGTATATTAAGTACCACAATAAGCAAGCAAACAAAAACATTCAGGGTCAGCAGTCGGATACATAAACTTTACTGGAAACGTGTTTTTGCAATAGCTGCAATAAAAACTTAAAAAAGGACTCAAGAGAACATGTTTAAGAATTGCTTTAAACCTTAAAAAAGTCCGATGTTAATGAAGAGAAGAACAAAACAAAACAAAGGCTGCTATTCACACAAACTGTAATATGGTACACTGTCAGGTTGAGTGAAATTTTACCTTTGTGCACGGCAGGTGGAAGATACTCGATGGTATGCTCGTCTAGTGAGGAGCTGGCATGAAGCTCAACTTTTGCCTCCACCTGTGGCTTTTCTTCTGCCTTGTTGTTTTTCTCATCCCTCCCTTCATCACAGGCCTTACGTTCTTCTCTTTTGGCCAGCAAAGCTCTGTCTGTTTGAGGCCCGGTGTAACTAAGCAATCCTAAGTTTCACATAAAACAGAAGACATAAGCCTTACTGATTCATCAATGTATTCTATAAAATAATATAAAATCTCTGGTAAATGTGCTTTTTTTAAACAACCAAATATAAATTTCACTGCTTGCGTGTACTTAAATAACTGCGATGAGTAATTCGAGCTTATCACAAGAAAACACAAACAAGCCCATTGATTTGCTGACATGGTAGCAGGAAGCATGGGTTCTGATAATGTATCAGGACCGACACGCTGTGTACAACATAAACGTTCGTGGTCAAGAGACAAAACCAAGAAATCAATAATGCTGGTTTGTAGCCAGATTTACTCAAAGGAGCTTTGAGGCTTTTCGCAGAAAAAAGCAAGTCTTACCATTTCTCTTTAAAAAGTGCAGGGCATCTTTGTATCCCTGCTTGCACATGCCCTTCATGACCTGCATTCAAACACACATTTATGTTAACCTTTTATGTGTCAAAGCAGCCCAGTGTGATCACTCCATCTTGCATGCTGTTGTTTGTGAGTTTTAAGGTAATTAACGTTACCTTTTGTAATGTTCGTAAAATGTTTAAATTGTTGAGGCGGTTGACTTGAATTTTGTGTTTTGTGTCTTCAGAGATTTCATTATGTCTTTTCTTTGTAACTTTTGTAAAAGTACGACTTTATTGTAATGTTTGTGGTGTGTGGACCCCAGGAGGAATAGCCTCTACTATTTTAGAGCCTAGTTGGGATTCTTAAATAAACACAATAAATAAATTTACAGAAATCTCAAAGTGCTACAATCAGTAAAAACAATTAGACAGCAACAAATTCGGACCATAAAACACAGATCAAAACATTAAAAGATTAGAACAAGACACATTAATTAAAAGAAAATCATAAATACAAATATCGAAGGTTTAGCATGACAAGATGCGGAAAAACTCTAAGGGAAAGAACGTTTTATTAGAGAAAGGCCTACCATTGGATTTGGTGGGAAAAGCGCCCTAGAGACTCTGTATAGGTTGGTGAGGGTGAACTGGATGCTTGTGTTGGTGAAACGCAGCTCGTGGATGTTGGTGGAAGTGTCTCGAGGGCAGATGTCGCTCTCTCCGGAAAAGGGGGAGACGGTGATGGTGTTCTTCAGCTCGTACTGCGGCAGGTTGTCGGAGATTCCCCCGTCAACATATCGCTGAACGGGAAAAAGATAAACAGCAGCAGAGCAAACAGAGTCAGATCAATGAATGCACAAAGTTTCCACAAACGGAACTGAGGAGGGGGGGTGGGGGGGAATTCATCCACAGTGCAGGAAATAAACAGGATGCGATAATAGTGAGAGCATATCCTCTGTATTGATAAGGGCAGGTTTTTATCAAAGGTTATGAAGTGTCAAAGCTACAAAACAAGACTTTTAAAAGAAATCAATCAAGTAAACTATAGATATAAATTCTCCCCGACAGAACAACATCTTAAGTTTTCTATTTGTTTGCTATTTTTGTTATTTATCTTGATTAGATTTTTTAAAAATTCACAGCGTTCCATGCAAACAACATGCCTTTAGTGACATCACATGAGGCACAAAGCAATTGATCATAGCTGTTGATTTATTATTATTATTAGTATTATTATTATTATTATTATTATTATTATTATTAACCTCTTTATTCTCATGTTTTTGAGCAAATTTCTTCTTCTGGCGTGTACTCTTGTATTCTGCGAGCTGCATTTAAGAACTGGAACCAAGCATGAGAATAAATTTATCGTCGTCATCACAGCATATCCTAGAAAGTTTTTTAAGAGTCCAAATTTGGCTCAGACACATAGAGTTGGATCATTTGCCACTCTAAATCTGTCAGAATTTGTCAAAAGTTGCTTGTTAACTATAATTTACGCCAATGCCAGCAGATTAGCTGATCCCAACCATATACACACAAATCCGTTTTTTTCCTCAGGGTGTTTTTCAAAATTGTAGCTTTCTGTGAAATCCTGCGGTGCCAACCCATACATTATTGCACAACTATTTTTTTTTTTTTATCGTCAGCGTACATTTGTGAGAAGAAAAACTAAACCACTGGTAAGTCTCTTTACACACACAGGCAGTGTGTGTCTGTAAAGAGATCGTGACATCAGGATTTAAGTCACAAGAGGGCACTAAGAAAACATCAAATCACATGTGAGGCCACCTGATCACATTTTGGCTCTGCCACTCTCTAAGTTTTGCCTCAATCCAAACACACACACACACACACACACACACACACACACACACACTCTCATACAGTGTTAAACTCCATAAAACCCATCACAAAGTTCACAGTGGGAGGCCGGTACTGCCAGTGATATTTCTCAGAAAAAACCTTTGCACTAGAAACATGACGAACAAAACAGAAAAGAGGAAAAAGAAGACTTTCCAACCTCCCTCCTGAGAGTAAAATTTCAGACAAACACTAACGCTAGTGGAATTTTGTAACCACTGTTTACACACACGTGGCATTAGGAACAAACACATTCTGAAGGAGCGGAGGGCCCCAGCGGGTACAGTGACGGAAAAAGAAAATGTGCCAAAAGCAACAAAGAATGAAGTAAAACACTTTGAGTTAGAAAAAGGTCAGACTGTTCTTACATCATATCAGAAAAACCAGTTTTAATGTAAATCTTCCCAAATCACAGAGTTAAATTCAACTTAATTAGTCTGAAAACAGAAGAATGGCAACAACAGGAAAAGGGACAGAGAATTTACTCACCACTCCTTGAAATGTGGGAGGAATGAGGCCACAATACACGGGGATGTAGGCACTGCAGACACATGCCTAATAAAAAAACAAATAATTGCAAATTAGATACTTGAGCCCTTTTTGGAGTGAATTTGTATGGGCAGAGTAAGAGTGTGAGAATTAGAGGAACTTCAGTTGTTTCACTCCAGAAGAGTGAGAATAGGTAAACCTGGAAGTAGCAGTAAAAGGTGTCTAGTCTTTATGTTATTTAGTGCATACCTGAATCAGCTCCTCCTTATCGTTGAAGTGAGACACCAGGACGTTTTCTCCATCTGCCACCCGGGTCAGAGAGATCCCCAGTCGCCCGTTGGCTCGGTGGGGGCTGTCGGCGGGGAGATTCCGCCTCAGGAGCTGACGGACAATCTTCACCAGGTTAAAGGTGGGATGCATGGGTCCGAGGAGCCGCTTCCTTGCCTCTTTGGCGACTTCAATTATGCTTGCCCCAGCATCTCCTGCAGTTAATTACAGGAGCGGAGGTTCACAATCATGTGGATCACAGCCAAACATCAGGGTTAGACATTTATCGCTTTTGTGATAAAACCCAGTCAAGTTCAAGTTCAGCCCATTAGTATGAACAAAGTTACGCTAAGTTAAATGTTTTTAAGTTTTCCTCTTTTCTAAAGAGGGCTGAATTTAATTTGAGACAGTTTCAACCTGAGCTGTACCAACTCAGTTCAAGAGAGGAAACTTGTTAGCATAGGTAACTTAACTAATATATCCAATTAAAAATAAGAGAGTTTATTTTGATACCTTACCATTACATTAAGTTACTTGCATGTTCTATCATATTTATTTTACTTTAGAGACTAAAAATGCTCCATCCACTTGCTGTGGCAAATGCTGTAGGTTTATGGTCTCAATCTAAGTCATATTATTGTTCATGTCAACTTGAACAACATAAGTAAAAAATAAAATTTTGGGTTAGGGGTTAGGGTAGACTATGTACTGTTTAATTACTATTTTGGTTTTCTAAACAGCCTGACTTTCACAGAAAATAACTGTTGTAGAAGATTTATATTTTACAGTGCATTGAAGAAATTATAAAACACTTTATTTAAAGTAACACTTTATTTGACGGGGTGTGCATAAGACTGACATCACATTGTCATAAACATGACATAATATGTGTCATGAACATAAAGAAGTCTCTATGACTGTTTATGACAGTTGTCATGAAGTGTCATTCGGTAAATAATGACACTTTTAATGCAAAGTTGCTTTAAAAGATGCATTGAAAGTCCATTAAAAGTGCCAACTTTGCATGATTTTGTAAATTATAATTTAATGCAAAGTTGCCATTTTAATGGACTTTCAATGCAACTTTTAGTGCAACTTTGCATTAAAAGTGCCATTATTTACCGAATGACACTTCATGACAGCTGTCATAAACATTCATGAAGACTTCTTTATGTTTATGGCAGACGTTATGTCACGTTTATGACGGTGTTATGTCAGTTTTATGCACACCCCTTCAACTAAAGTGTTACCAAAACTGATTTGAACGTGTGAGCAAACTTTACTACTTGGTCATTCTTTTATTACACTATGTTCAATAAAGTCAAACTACTCAACTCAAATAACTCCCCAAATCTTTATTCTTAAGACATTATGATGATTTAAGGTGACAAGAAGAGAAATTTTTATCTGAGCTGAAACTACAGGTAACATTAAAATAAGTTCTATTCTAATCAGTTTGTGCCAGTTTAATGTTACAATTCATGCAATTACTGAAACTAACAATTGAAACTGGATGCTATGGTCTCGCCATCCTTTGCAGGTGCACACAGACAGCAAACGGTACATACCAAGACACACTCCAGTGACCAAAGCAGTGGCGGTGAGGGCCCCCGCAGAGGCTCCATAGATGTGTCTGGCGTTCAGCACCAGGAAAGGAGCCTGCTCCAGCAGACAGCTGGCCACACCGATGTGGTAGATCCCCAGGAAGCCGCAGCCTGCGAAGGAGATGTTCCAGGGCGAGTCTAACGGGAACATGCTTGTCCAGAGCTGTGCCCGGGATCGCGGAAGCTTAACTTTGAGTTTAAACGTTACCCTTCACGGAACAGCTTACACGTTTCTTTTGCAATAACAGACTCTTAAAATTTTAAGTATTCCCCTTTCGCATCACGTACTTAAAAGTACTAAACCTTTACCAGTTAGTTTTGTTATTGCACAGCAGATGTCCTCAGCTAACGGTTAAAAAATGAATATAGTTTAGAGAGCAACACGCAAATCCCTTAACACTGAAAGTTCTTAACAGCTTTTAAATAAACTAGATCGGAGGAAATGAATAAATACGAAGTAAACTTTGGGCGATTGTTATTATTTCACATGCTCTGTTTGCATAATCAAGAGGGAGGATACAGGATGAACAGCTTGACCAATCACATTTTAGTCGGAAAGGAACCTTGATCAATGAGAATTGAACAAAGTTACATTTTAACCAATCATAGCTTTCATCGCTGAGTTGCTGATGAAATCAGTTTGCGGTCAGTTTTTTCTGACATTATCAAACGTTATTTCCGTAGGAGGAACTCCACGTTTTGTTTTGTTCAATGTTTATGTTCCTAACTTTAACAAATAACAATTCAGAGACCAGAGGTCTTATTTTGAGTTTGTTTCACAATAGTCTTCAAAAGAATCTGGAAGTAAGGTGTACTGATTTCTGGAACTCTCTGTTTACATGACAATCGCTGAAAACAACAAAGCTCTATATGAAGCGTTTCATTTCATAATAGCGCTGCTCCAACAACAGAAGGTGACTCTTTAAAACAAAAAAAAAAAAAAAAAAAAAGACAGTGCCTGTATATTTCATAAGGGACATGTAACTTTAACATTTCCTGTTATTAACAAAAATATTGGATGTTTTTAACAAAAGGAAAGTTGAAACCCCAAATATATAGAAAGTGCACTGTGCAATATTTCTGACTGATCACTTCCTTGAATAAGCTGTTAGCAGAATAAGACAAACAAAAAACAAAACAAAACAAAAAAAACAGTCCATGTTGAGAAAGGCCCAGATTAACACATCCTATTGTGAAAGCAGGATGTGCTACTTTCCCCGAGTTTATAGATTTCTATTCTAAAAAGATACCACTGTCTGAACAGTAATGATTAAATGCAGGGGAGTCTAAATGAGAGAGAAAATTCCCCCAATATTAACATGGGATATTAAAATGTTAATATCCCATGTTAATCCAGTGTTAATATTAATATATCGGATATTAATACTAATATATTAATGTCCGATGTTTGGGGAATTTTCTCTCTCATTTATAATATTATAATTATCTCATGAGATATATTATAAATGCTCCTAGGGGCGGGACCAGACTGGGCGACTTTCCACCCAATTCTAGTTTTGCAGATTCCCATTTAATATCTGAGGAAAATTGTAAATGATCACAAATTGTAATAATTAGAGAAATCTACATATTCAGTGGAAGTAGATGATGATGCAGTAGATTTCCAGGAAACATAGATGGGGCTCACAAACTAAAAATAAAATCCCAAAACAAACAAACAAACAAACAAACAAACAAACAAACAAACAAACAAACAAACAAACAAACAAACAAACAAACAAACAAACAAACAAACAAACCACTTGTAGCTGAAATTATCAACAAAGATATTTGACAACTGAATGGTATTCCTGAAAATGCTTCCAAGGTTGTTATTGTTTCTGATTTTTCTTATATCCACGTTTTGAGACAGCAATCTTGATTACATAACCTTAAATAATAATAATAATTTAAAAAAAATCAGTTATTTGGGGTGAAAGGACAAACTATATCCAGTGTTTGACTACTTTTACAGAATGGTCTGCTTAGTAACTTTAAGTCAGTTTATTATTTATTAAATCACTCATTCTTTCCCATTCTGCAGTCACATTTATTTTAATTTCCGTTTAAAACACTATTAAATATTTATTAGAATGTTCTACTTTAACTTCTGATGGGAACCCTCGCACAAGAAGTATAACTTTATATGTTTTTGCTTGAATGGTAAACCAAAGCTGAACAAAGAAATCTTTTTTTTTTATTGTAAGCAATTGCAGTTTGTTATTCTGCCAGAATAAACAGCGACACCAAGCGCCTAAATGTGAAGTTGCATCGCCTAGACACGTTGACAACGTTGTCCCGCCCTTAGTTGAAACTTTGGCGGCGCTACTAACTTCACGCTTGTTGTAAAATATAAGAACCAGAGAGAGGGGCGGGACCGTCAGCACCAATTGGATTCTTATACCCGCATAGTGCCTTCTCTATCCGGAATACAACGTAACTTAAAACAAGCGCGCCCCAGTGACGTAACGGATTTTCTTTAAAAACGTTCTGGAACCAGGAAGTAGCGTCACACAGCGAACAGTCAATCCCGATTTTAAAGTTTCCTGTTTTTATCCTGGAAAACTGTGATAGCTATTAGAAAAACATATTTTAAAATAGTATGCATATTTGGTTGATTATTTAAAGATAGTTATGGCTTACGTTAACTTAAAAACGGTGTTTGCGACTTTGACGTTTACACTTAGTACAGTGAATTTCTCTTGATAAGGGGTTCTCACCACTTATCCTTACTGCCATGAAGTACAAAGTTGCCTGTAATCAGCCATGTAACGTGTTATGGAAAGCGAGAAACCCAGAGACATCACTGCAGTAGCAAAAGGGCTTAATAAACGCTTTTTATGGAGAGAAAGCCTGAAGAAGACACAACTCCTCATGAGGAAGGTGGAGACCTTGATCTTCTTTGGACTCTAAAACAAAGAAGGTCAGAAGATGGAGAATAACGAAAATCTAAACGTCTCCACAGCTTTGCTGGCTTGTGGGGAATCGGTACCTGGATTGAGAGAACCAAAATATGCGCCTGGAGCTGAGGTTGCCGAACCCGAGAGGGAGGCTTACTCAGCGGACCCCAGTGATCGCTCCATCTCAAGCCTGTCCTCTTCTTTCTCGTCAATGTTTCATCCTCTTTCTTCATCTTCCTCATCTTCCCGTGGCTCAGTCCTGTCTCTGTCGCCACCCTTGCCTCCTTCTGTGGAGCTTTCTGCAATCATGACAGACACCAGGCTGACCCTGGATGTTTACCTCGGAGGAGCAGCTGCGTTGCCCTTAGTATGGGGGTATGACCCTGATCATCTGAGGGGCATCAAGTACCTGAGACTGGGCTCTGAGGGCAAACCTGGGCTTGATGCTGCACTGGATGTCCTTCCTCATATGACAGGGCTTCACTCTTTGACCATCCGGGGTAACATATAGCTTCACCAACACATCAGCATGCATATTGCCATATTTTTGTTTATATATTTATATTTAGTTTAGATAAATTCTTTTCTTATATTTTTGCGCCTTTTCAAATGTCTAACATACTCTTTTCAGAACCGATTTTAGCTCTAGATGCTCAAAAATATTAAAAATTGTTTGTAGACTGAACAGAAGGTATTTTGGATAGCTAAAATAAAACATCTGCTCTGAAGATATTGCCTTCACCATCTTCTGTATTTACTTTTCTTTCTTAAAGGACATCGCTTTTATGACTCCCGAGGTGATCCCCTGCCTGGACTCCTCACCAGTTTGCCAGGCTCCATGTCAAATCTGTCTCACCTGAAACACGTGGATCTCTCCTTCAACCAGCTTACCTTTATGCCGTCATGCCTGCTCCAACTGCCGGTGCTGTCCACGTTGCTTCTCTGCCACAACCACATCTCAGCTTTGCCTCCAGATTTAGGCCAATTATCATCCTTAACCTACCTGTCCCTGATGGGGAATAAATTGGTGTCTGTTCCCCCAAGCGTGGGTCAACTAAAAGCGCTGCAGAGGCTCGATGTATCACATAACGTTCTCCAGCAACTGCCTGATGAAATTGGTTTCCTTGGGGAGCTTGTTAAGTTGGAATTGTCTCACAACAAGCTGAAACAGCTGCCAGACAGCATGGGTAAGAGGTTCAGGGTGAATTACGGTTTTGGATATAGACCACTTTAGAAATAAACAAGATATTCTGCTTGCTGGGAGTTAAGTTGTTGATGAGTTTTTATTTATTGCACAGGCTCTCTTGTTTCTCTCAGGGAACTGGTCATCTACAGCAATGAGTTCCGGGTAATTCCAAAATGTCTGAATGAACTCCCTCTGTTGACAATGGACGTTCGTGATAATCCTTTGGGAAAACCTCCGACGCCGCCTCCTCTGCCTCCCGTACCGGGTGAGCAGACATAAATTGGTTTATGCTCACATTTCTTTTATTGTAATCATGCAATGCACTTTTTGTATTGTGCTCATTAAAATTGTCTTGTCTTATCAGATCACCCAAAAATCCAAAAGTTGCATCTTGGATCCAACAAGCACAGGTACGGCTCTGCTGTAACGTGATCAAATGTGTAAACCAACGCTGTCTGCTTAAGCGTTGCAGCACCAAACGTGTCTTTCTCCTTTGCTCTTTAGTTTCTTTGTTTCGTCTGCTGGTCGCCATGTGTTTCTCCCAGGAGGGGCTGAGCTGACGTTCCCCCCTGGATGCCTGATGACAACCACCAAATTCACGTGGGGTGAGAAAAGGCCAAACAGGAAATGGGTGTGGCTGGAGGAACACGACATCCTTCTGAGTCGGCCCCTGGAGCTTTGTCCTCATGGTGTTACGTTTTTAAAGGTGTGAAAATGATTCGCTATAGTTTATTACATTAACACAGATGTACAGTGCCATGAAAAAGTATTAATAAGCCTTGAGATCTAGAGAAGTGAGGCATGTATTCTCCACGTTTTGCTCTTGTACTCTTAAAGAGCATCCAGGAAGCATTAACCATGCTTCAATTTGTCAATATTTTGTTATATTACAGCCTTACTTCGAAGGCTTCAATGAATTTCTACTCAAATTTCTGCACACAAATATCCCATTATAACAATGTGGGGGAAAAAAAAAACATGTACAAGTACTCACAGCCTTTAATTGATCAATTTAATACAATTTGGAATGAGAATGTAACAAAACTCAATGTGAAAAAGTAAAGCTGTGGGAGATTATGTTGGAGACCATTAGTGAACAAACAGCATCATTAAGAGCAAGGAACATGCCAGCTGCACCAAGCATTAGGTTGGCGTTTGGTTAAAAATAAGGCTGTAATTGCCTTTTTATGCATTTTTAGAATTATTGTAGTATCTAAGATACCAAATGTTTAATATAACCAACATCTACTTAGCCACACTTTATACAATTTTAATACAGGGTTGGTTTAAAAGGTTGTTTTACTCTTCCACCATGTAACAGAAATGCTGGACAAAAGACGGTTGTCTTTAGAGGAATGAAAACATGGAACGCCCTTCCTTTGTCCGTTTTAAACGCAACAAATGCTAGACCTCTTACAAGAGCCCTGTTTAATTAGTTCATTATATAGTGTTTTAATTCTACATTTAGAAATCAGTAAGTCACTACTCTTGTATTAAGCGTGTCTAACTGTTTTTGTAATAAATGTTTTTCCTTAATTTGGACTTGGCTAATGGGGATCCAAACAAACAAGCTGTGGTCTATATTA